AGTGTTCTGTTGAGGAATAACTATACACTTTCCCAGGGAAAGAAAAGACAAATATAACAAAAGATCCCAGCAGCACCATCTATCTATTAATGAGTTAGTAGGGTTTAGTACCTAACACCACACAAGAAGATCAGTTGTCTTCCATGCAAGATGAAAAGTGTTATTTTGTCTAAACAGTGCAAAGAGAAGGACAACTGAATTAATAAATGACAAAGTAGTTCATCTTTAAAAATATAACACTTTCTGAACAGAACACTAAAATATTGCATGGAAATATTCTTTTTCAATAAATCCCTCCTCTTCTATTTCAATTATCCTGACTTTCCATAAAATGAACTGCAAAAGAAACAGTTTGCTTTAAATCAGAACAGTCTTGGCAACAAAGAACTCCTGTCAAAATAGAGTTGACCTGCTAAAAGCCTCCCACAACTTTTAAAAACAGGACACTGACAAAGGATGTTTTAAGCTGTCCTTATACTACAGTGAAAGGAGACAATAGTTTGTTGCTCTGCTGTACACAGGAAGACTGTGAGCTCTGCAAGATTCATTCAAAAGCTATTCAAATAGGAACTATTACTGCAGAATTTACAGCGTAAGTATTTGTAAAAGCCAACAGGGTCTCATTCGTTGCTCAATAATGCTTAGTTTACATAGAAACTAAACAAATTCCTTCAATAGTGATATCAATCATTTAGAAAATAAATTAGTAATGTTATTCTCTTTAAATATGAAATCACTATACAGTCCAGGTACAAAAATCTGTTACAACAGAATGAAGTATTTACTCTGGTCTTAAAAAAAAAACAACCCACCATACCAACCAAGACCCAACCTACCAGCTGAAGACTATTACGTGGAAGACTAATTTCCTCCTAAGCAGATGATTTTTACATTATGATACAACACTCAGAGCTCTGTGAGGCTTAGAATTCTTTAATTCTGCTTTTGGATGCTCACTGCTCATAAGTGGGAGAAACTAGCCTAATTTGCCATTATTTACTAGAGAGGCTAGGATGTGATCTGCATACCAAACTATCCCTAAAGGTTTATTAAAGTATCACTTATAGAAGATGACACAGATACATATGTTTCTTTAGTTCTAATCCTGACTACTGGAGTATGGAATAGCATATCCTTATTCATTCCTTTTTAATAGGATAAAATTAAGGATAATTTCCTCCAAAAGGCATTGTATCCTTTGGGTAAAGTGTGCGTTTTAAAGAGGTCAACTGTGCCATTTAGACACAGGCTAGCATTAGGTCTGCTTAAAGTTGGACCACCTATAAGGTTGTCAGAGAAGAATTCATCCCTGGAATATAAAGGGAGCAGACCAGCTGCAAACCTTCTTTCAAATGATTTAGATTTATAAAGTAACAGATGAAGTGCCTCCACCGAGGGGAGGCACTTTGTTCCTGCCCAGGTCAGAGCCATTCAGCAGTGAAGTGGCCTCCCCTCCAACTGGGAGATTGTACTCTTCCCCCTCCTTGCAGTCCTGGCCAGGGTTCTCTGCTCTGCCTTACCCAAACTGCAGCCTCCCCCGCATCTTTGGCTTCCCAGCATCTTTGGCTCTATGGCTGTGCCAGGAGGCTTTTGCTCCCATGACAGCAGGACTGGAGAGTGTTTTCTGCACTACTACAAGGATGGTGATATCACATAACTGCAGGTACGAGGTATAGGGGAGGCTACACCAACTGTTATCAATGGATTTTTAAAATAAATTTCAGTGGTGGGTCAGCTTTTGCTTCCTTTGGTTGACCACATACCTCATCCTTAGATGTTTCAGAGTCCAATTTGAGTGTGAGGTACATAACAATATGAGGCATGCCTTGGATAGCCAGCTGAAGGTCCATATTGTCATCTCCCCAAAGAAGCTTGACAAGATTGTTCATAGGTGACTGTGCCTGTTTATATTTTTGTTGAGATGTTTCTTCATACTCAAAGACAGATGTTTCAAATGTAAGTTTCACCTATTAAAATAATTAAACATACAGTATTATAAAAATGGGACTGTACTTAAAGTCAAGTTCATTGACTTACAAATAAAAATATATTTTTGCCATAAGAAGAACTTTAATCTCTTCGGTCCTTTTTTAGGGTTCAGAAAGTTCTTTACGAAGATGTTTTAAAATATATATACAATACACAACCATTGAAAAATCCCTGTGGTTTGAATAAAGTCATTTATATAGTCAATGTTATATAACCACGCATCCCCAAATGCTAGACAGAGCTATTAAATGTTTTATCAAACATGTGAATTAGGCATGTGGTCTAGTCTGTTTTCATATTTGATTTTTATAGTTTTAAAAATAGAAAAATACACTTTCTGCACTTGATTTATTTGAACACACAATCTAGTACCTCCACTTTAAAACGTTATTACATATCTTGTTTCAAAATAGCAGCACTTGCATATTTATATGTTCTTAAGATTCATTTTCAAAAGTATTCCCTTAACATTTTAACTCATCAGTTTAGAAACGCACATTATTACAATGTAATCTTCCTAAGTTGGACCATACCACCAACAATCTTTTAGTATATTTTTAAAACTCAGCAGCCGTTGAATTCATTCTCACAAACTAATTTACCAGTATATTTTCTTTTTTTCTTAATGTATCAATTAAAAAAAATAATTATGAAAAGAAAAGTTGTGCTAGTTTATGATTAGAAGTTAACAACGGTCTATTTTATATCATCAGTAGAAAGTACAAACATTTGTTACGTTACTTGCTGTCCCAATTCTTCTAATAATCAAAGTACTACAGAAATTGCTTGAGGGACAATGACACTTTCATTTTTAAAATGACAAAATTACATTCATTTTACCAAAAAAGTACAGTTGACAAATATTTTAGATTATTTTCTTTAAAAATAAGTATAATTTTAAGCTTTCAGTATATACGTTAGAATTTTAAACAACATAAAATCCAAGCATAAATTTGGTTTGGAACTGGAATCTTCATTTTTCAAAATTTATTTTATAAATCTGCATCTTTTTGTACAAAATTATCTTATGAAGATAATTTTAATTATTTTAAAAGCGATGAAAATAATGAATAAAATTCTTACTTTTAATGAAAACTGCATGTTAAGGAGACAAAAACAAAGGAATTTTTATTTCTTGTCTGAGCCTTTCAGAAATGGGGATGTTTTACCTTCTTGGATGAAGGATTGTAACTTCCATATGTCTGAACAGACAAAAATTCTAGTATACTACATGCTAAAATGTTGTCTTTGTCACTGACTTCACTGGAACTTTGACTCTGTCCAGTGAATTAGAGTAACTGATGTGAGAGAAAAAATTTATGCATTCCCAATAGCAACCTGAACAAAAGCAAGTCGCATATATGAAAACAATCATAATTTCAAAAGAAAATCTAGCAAGAGATATGGACAATACTCATGCTTGCCAAGAAAGGAGCAGGGAAAAAAACTGTAACCATTTCTACTTCTGACCCTCTACGTTCCCATTCCACTCATGGTGTGGAGTTTCCCCTCTCCCATTCCTGGTGCTTCTGACCTCTTCCTCTTCTCCCTACCACCTCTTTCTCTTTTCTTGAGCAGAACAATATCTAACTCTTCTTCCCTCCCACAGATATCCTTAATGGCTTCAAACTTCCATGTTGAGGACTCGTGTGCCCTTCATATATACTCATCTTCTCACCTTCACTTTCCCACTTGACATACAGGTTTGCTTCAGTTCACCCACTTACCAAATGGACATCTGCTTGACATCAAGCACCCCTTTCATCTCCAATCCATCACTGAATTCCTCCTCTCTGACCATCATCTGGTTTCTTTCAACATCTCCCATCTGCCCCCTTCCTCTCACAGACCACTCACTGACTTCTAGTACAGGAATGGTGATGATGTCTCTTCTGCTCTCTCTGTCTCTTCCCTTTTTTCCTCACAGATATGATTGTTGATTTTCTACATGTTTCATTATCCTCCACCTTTGCCTCTTTTGTCCTCTATTCTGTCATTGTCACCCACAGTTCTGGTTCACCCCAAGTACCTGCCTTCTCATTTCTGTTAAGTGTGTCTGGTAGAAAACTTGTGACTATGCTGACAACCTTCACTTCATATTTGTTCTCTTCTCTATCAGCTCTTCTATTTTGTTAGCCAAGGGATACTCCCACCCTACTTAGACTGTCTCAGAATCTGAGATATGGACTCCCGCTTCCATCTGCCATCAACAATTTGTTATATTTTCAAATAAATTTCATCAGTGCTGCCCCTCATACATCTAAGTACCCATAAACATCCACAAAGCAACCTTATTGTATTCCTTCAGATCTCCCATTTAAATCCTCCCTTTGATAACAGAGATGCAGCTGATGCTCTGTGACCACTGTTTATCATGCTCTCCTCAATTTGTCTATATCTATATCTCTTTCTTATTATACATAGAATGTACATTTTTGGGGGGCATGGATAATTTTTTTGTTCAGCAACTAGCAAAATGGGACCCTCATTCATGACTGGGTCTCCTAGATCAGTGTTTCTAGACCTTTTTTTTTTTTTTTTTTTTATAAAGTAACCCTTTTCAAGAAAAGAAAAGAAAAGAAAAGAACCTCCAGTACCTACAGTTTTTAGACACACAATTTTGCTTCTACCATTGCAACACATTTGTTTGGGTGTAAAAAAGTACAAAAATAATAAAGCGCTGTAAAACTTAAAACAAAAATTCAGTTTTCTCCAAATGTCAATTGTTTTGATGTACCCCCCGGGTTTCAAACTGATCAGTTTCAGCAGCAGCTGACTTGGGGACGCCTGGGGTTCTTAAGTTGATTCTGTATGTAAGTCAGAACTGGCGGTCAGTTTCAGCAGCGGCTGAATCTGGACGCCAGTTCCGACTTACATACAGATTCAACTTAAGAACAAACCTACAGTCCCTATCTTGTACGTAACCCAGGGACTGCCTGTACTTTATTAACTCATGTAATAGAGGTCTGTGTTGGGAATCTAAAGGTTACAACTCTGCTGATCACCCATATGAGAGTCAATAGTAATGCAATCTCCCTCTTTTTAGTTTGTTTTAAAAACACTAGGAAATTACTCTTCAGTCCTCTACTGAGTGGAAGAAAGTGGCCATCTTTTACCTTAGAAGTGGTTACATTTCTCTGGTGAAATGACTGATGGACCCCTCCCACTACAAGCACAAAAT